CGTGTCTAGAAATGCACAAAGAAGCTGAGCTAATTAAGAGAGCTCCCACTGCCCCCCTTCATGAAAGCTGCTATGCTTTAAAACCCTGGAGATGGTTTCACTGTGAATTTGTGAGGTTAGGAATACAGCTGGGATGCTGAGACTGTGGGCTGGGTGGTATGTATAGAATGTGTTTGATCAGTTTCCCTGGTTGTATTAGAAAGAGATGGCATAAAACAAATGGGGTGGAAATAGGCAGAAAAGATGAGCAGCTCCCTCTGGGATAAGTTTGAACTGATTTAGATTGTGGGAAATATTTTTTTGTGTTGGGTGTACTTTTTCCTGGAGATTTCAGTAAGAACATTTTTTTTTCCTCTCTATGTTTATCAACGACATAAAAAACAGGTTTTGAGCCTTTACAAACATGAGGCTTAGACCCTGCAGTTCACTCCTGCAGATGTTAGCATGGCATGCTACAGCCCAGCATTCTGTATATTGACATGAGAATACCTTGCCAATCTCATCTTGCCCATGGCATTTTACACTATTAATATGACTATAGCTATCTATATATATACTTATACATATATATATATTATTACTTTACTTGCCTGAAGCGTCCTCACTGAGGGGGTACTTGAGCAATGATAGGTGTAGGTTAAATGTATGTAGTTGCAGCATGCTGGACAAGCAGAACCTGGGTGATGCAGGACATGGAACCTCTCTTTACAAGCCACTGTCATGGTTTAAATGAAACCAGGACAGCTCCTGAAAATGAATAATGAACCTTCACTGCATCCCATTAAATCCACCAAAATTTAGGCCACCCAGGAGATGACAACACATTGGTAAGGAGATTCTTATGGTACTCGGTCCTTTCAGTCCTATTAACAGGCAATAGCTCCTTCACTCATCCTTCAGTAAGAAGTATATGAAAAAATTCTTTACACCATCCTGAAATGCATCAGAATCCTTGTGTCTCCTTGTCCCTGGTTAGCCCAGCTCTAATCATCTGATTCCTGCACCAGCAAGGGGGGATTTCCTCACTTGACAGGACCATGGATAAACTTGGCATAAAGAGCATTAATAATAACAGATGTTGTAATGTTTTTCTATGTTTACAAGACCCCCGTGTGCTCCATGTATCATTTGAAATTATATTGAAATGATTGATTTTCATTTAATTAATACAAGATAAAACATTTGCAGAACAGCTCAGGGCTTTTGGAAGATGCAAATAAAGAGCTGTTAAGTCTGTCTGAGAGCTTGGTTTGGATGTGACTCCACCCATTAAAAACTTCTACTCAGTTAAATGCAAAACTATAAGTTTGTTTCAGTTTCCTTTCTGTGGTAAAGATGAGAGCTGCAAAGAGGTTCTACTGGGAAAGCAGTACTTGTTAAGGAAAACTAAAGCATCAGAATTAAAGGGAAAACAGTTTTAAAGTTTATTTGAAAACTATGCAGTAATTTATGACTGCCTGAGCTTTTCTTTCAATGTCTCTTCCCTCTGGCTTTTATTCAGCAAGCTGCTTAAGCCTATGGCTTGTTTAAAGCAGGCAGAAGATTAAAATCCTTGTTGAACTGGGGTAGGAACAGTTACATGTTAGTTCATCTCAGAATGATAAATATTTGCTCGTATAAGCTCTATGCAAAACTTAATCTTTAACCTCATGAAAACTCTGATATGAGCACAGGACTTGTATTCTTGCATAAGCCTCTCAAGAAGTTCTCCATGTACACATGGTGCATGAAGGGCACCTTTATTCAGAAGCAGCTATGGATCTGTAGATCTGTGATGATTCATTGAGCAATTTCTGGTGATCATGGAAACCTGGAATTTCCTGGGGCAGCAGCAGGAGTACTAACATATTTGGCAAAGGAAATGGATTAACCTAGTTTTTTTTCTGCCAACCAGGGGACATCACATTCTCCCTCAGCGTGGCAAGAAAGGGACTAGTAGTCAGCCTTTGAGTATAAGTTCCTTTCTGCTTTCTCACATGATAGCTTGTAGTACAGGAGTGATGGGACACTGGGGCAAGTCATATCCACAGCAACCAAAAGTTGGTTGAGTTTATAGTTTTTATGAAGTGAGTCAACTCATTTAATCCTAAATTGTAGCAGAAAGTTGAGACATGCTAAAACAATAAAGTCTGCAGATTCAACCCAGAGCTCTTAACACATTTTTAATCTGAACACTACACACAATGAAGCAAGGAAGACAGACAACAGACAGATTACTTACCAGTAACCAACCCTCTTTGAAATAGGCAGTTTCTATGTAGAGTGACTCAGTGGATGAAAGTAGATACGCTGGTTCATATCTGAGCCTCTCTCCGTCTCCCCAGGTTTGCCAAATGCACATGAACATGGCACCATCTTGATCACCATGTCCCCAAAGAGACAGATTCAGAAGCCTTTAATGGAAAAGGAGATAAGTGTACTGTATGTTCAGGCCACACATTGTGAAACTTTCCATTGCTGTTGTTCCGGTCTTTGAGGCCACATACACCTTCATACTGGGAGTACCCCCAAGCTGTAATGCTATGCATTCACAGTAGGTCTTGGCCTCCAGATAAGTGCTCAGCAGATGTCATGGACAATGCCAGTCCTCAGCAAAGCCACCGAGCTTGCTTGGAACTATTGTTGAACACATTGCTGTAAGTGGTAACTAGTAAAGGGCTATGTGAAGGAGATCAGCCACTACATCTCTCCTCCTCTGCAAACAGACTGCCATGAATTACCCTTTCACAAAGCATCCCCATAACAAGTCATGACATTAATTTGGGCTCAGAGGGCTGTCCCATGAGAGTGCTGAGTGCCACATTCATGTCCCTCTGAGGATCATGTAAAGGTGGGAGTAGGCTAATCAGTCTTCGGCAAGCATTTAGCACCATATCTATGTAGACAGGCTGGTGTTCAAAACCCGCATGTAGGTACATTGAGAGAGAGGACAAAACAGATTCATTTGGCTGCAAAAGACAAAAAAAACCCCAAAACCCAACCCAAAAGTCTGACCAAAATGCAGTGCTCAGGAGCACTCTGCGGATTTGTAGATTTGGCCCTGGTGAGTTATTGCCTCAAGAGGCAGAGCGTCCCATCCCCTACCCTGTGAGAAGTTAGAGTGACTATGGTCCCCTTTGTCACCTCAAGGAAGCTTAGGTACTGGTAGCACCATCCGTGTGCTGGGGCAATGAGTGCCACAGCTACTTGGCTGCCACTTTGAGCAGAAGTCTAGGAAATTCAACTCAGTGAGAGATGAAAATCCATGCCCTGCAGTCCCTCTTAGGCTATTCACCTACAACAGCCTCTTCTAGGTGGGGAGCTACTCTGCATGTCCCTTTCTAAGCACTCCCACTCAAGAGGCAGAAACCTTCTTTTCCCTCCTCTTTAGCAACTGGAAGATTTGAAAAAATGCTTTCCTGAAATCAGGCTCTGAGCAGACTCAAATTGTTTGAACCACGCTTCTTCTAGTACAAGCAAGGCAGTTCTGGTTTTTCACCATATACCAAAGCCCCTTATTATTTGTCCTCCCTATCCTGGAGCCATTCTACCACCATTTCCAAAACTGCATTTTGCCTACACTGCTGAGAAGCCTTGAGATGCCTTTACATTAAAAAATATTAAAGTCAGCTGAATAGTTAGGAATGTGGAGGCTGAGAGAAATTTGAGTAATAAGCAACCGTATTGTTTGAGTGAGGCTCTTTGCCTGACTTTGAAAGAAATACTCTGACATCTTAGGTATGAGGTGATTTGAAAAGCTTCTTTTAATTATTTTGTATTTATTTATTTTTCACTCCCTAGGTTGCAGTTTTAAAGCTTAGTCCCTGTATCTCCATAGACCCATATGCTGGTTTGTCACTCATATCTCACTGTTGCCTGCTTTACAAGTGGCTGGGCACTAGTATAGGCAGCTCAGGAGTCTGAGGTGCATTGATCCAAACCTTAGCTATGACAGCAACACTGAGGTGAAGCTATGTCAACAGATTTGGGGTCTCTGGTATTGGTACTCTGAGCTCTGCGGGAATCCAAGACCCAATTGTGGTATTTTGGAGTAAACATTTTAAAGAGAAGGAACAATTTCCAGTGAACTGTAGGGAGGGTGGGAGAGCAGCTTTGCTGTTAGACGAGGAAGCTGGAAAGAAAGGCTTTTGTTTCTTCCTGCGTAGAGAGGTCACTCAGTGTCTCTGAACTTCCAGTTACCTCCTATAAAAAATATTACAGCTGTTAATGTGACCCATTGTAGTGCCCAAGTACAAAACCGGACAAGCTGAATGGCAGCGCTGGTCTTCGGGTTGTTGTTTTGTTTTTCTCTGGGAAGAAATAAAAAAGAAGCAGAATAAAATGGGTGCAAATTGTAAAGTCTTTTCTCTCCATTTTAAATTGCTGTAATAAAAGCAGCTAATATATAACAGCCACACAGAGAATAACACAGAGGGGGAAAGGAAAAGTAAGGTGGCCTTACAGCTTAAGAAACAGAGCTCATTAGGGTGATTGCAGTGCTGCATCGACACAGGATTAATTCCCCTTCGTGCAGTACCTCATTTAGAAGTGGTTTGAGGATCTCTGCGGGGAGTTACCTGGGCTGTGCCCTGGGGATACGTGTTTCCTGTGGATGTACATCTGCTCCTGGGAGGTGCCCAGCTTCTCTCCCACCTCTGCAGCAGGGACCACAGCCAGACCAGCTTACCTGGTGCTTCCCCACAGATCGCTGTGGTAGATGGGTGGTGGCCAAGGATGCACTCATGGAAAAGCTCTGGCTGCCTGTTCCTGATTGCCCTCTTTTTGCAAGGGACTGCTGGTGGCAGGCGTGGGTGTTTCTGTCCACCAGCTTGGATGAGAAACCTAGCTGTTGGGAAGGGGAAGGGGAAGGGGAAGGGGAAGGGGAAGGGGAAGGGGAAGGGGAAGGGGAAGGGGAAGGGGAAGGGGAAGGAGCAACCTACCCATCCTGGGCAACCCAGCTGGGTTACATCTGCTATTAAGAGCCTCCTGGGAAAGGTGGGAAATGGAGGAGTTAACTTGGTTCCTGCACACCCAGCATCTCTGAACAAACATGCATGCCTTGGTCAGTCGTGCCTCTGATAACTCCTCCGGGCTCCTTTCTAATTCTGTAACAGAGAAGCTGGCACTGGCATGGCATTTGCAGCAGCCAGCTGTGTCCTACTTGGAAAGCAGCACTTTGCTTCTGCTTCCTGGCTTCCCAGTTTGTCCCAGCTTCAGAAGAATCCTGTGGAAAAAAGTTGAATATCAGGTTTGTATCAGAATAAATGTATATGATGGTCTTAAATTAACATAATGCAGGGAACCTTATTTTTATACTTCCTAAATTTTAAGTGCCTGGCTTTGCACCTTATCAATATTCATAGAGGGTTTTTTTCCTTAAAATTTGATGTTGTTACGAGAAGCTCTGGCTGCCCATTAAGCATTATGAGCAGTTCCCAAGAAACCCGCAGGTTATTGGGAAATATATTAATTTGTTCCAGATCTCACTTATCACCATTGGTTTTGGAAGCCAGCAACTTTAAAGCAGAGTTGCAAATTGTTTCAGCATGTTAAAACCCACAGTGGTGTGTAAGTTCATCTGTATATGCCATGTGTCTTAAACAGAGATGTGCATTTTATGTCAAACATTCAAAATGACCACTTAAGAACATGGGAATTTATTTAAATTTTGGCTGCCCAGTAAGTGTTTGACTATGTTTCCACTAAATAATAATGACATCAAGAGCTTTGTTAAATTAACCACAAGACCAGTATGCATTTCCTATGGCTTTCTCAGGGGACGTCCAGTACACTAATCCTGCCAAAATGCAACATGTTAAAATATTGCAGGGACTGAGTACGTGTAGAACAAGACTGCAGCTGACAAACGACTGCCAGGTGCTAAAGTCCAGTGTAGACCTACATAATTTAGGGTTATTGCTGCTATTCTGGAATGTGAAATAAATCCAGCATCAGTTTGATGTCAGCTGCCCTGGGGTGGACAGATCACTAGAATATGTAGCTGAGGATGCTCTGCCAATGCTGGGGACGTCACAGCACATATGTTTTCCTACCTCTTGTGTACCATTGGGTTTTAGCACTGAAAACTGCTGCCCCAGGCCATGCACACAAGTAAACATTGGCTGCTGGTTTTTTGCATGTGTGTGTTTAAGTCTGTCTTTGCTCAAAAATCCAACTGGAAATGACTGTTGAAATTCCGCTGTCTATTGATGAAAAGTTTCAGAGAGTTGATCTTGCTATAGAAATAATAGTGAGTTAGGTATAGCATAAAGAGCATATACTTTGATAAAGAGTTACAGTGGATTTCTTACAAGTAAAACAATTTGATAAAATGCAGAGCTTAAAAACAGTTTATGACTGGGGGGAAAAGGGCTGGATTTGTTATGTTGTTGGCTATAAACAGTTTACTTAGCTCTGATGCTGAACCAGCCAGGTAGTTACACTAGTGTCCAAATGGTGTCCAGCTCCAGGATCAGCAGAGGCTGTGCTGAACACAATGGAGGTCTGCATAAAGCATAATATCCCCTCTGGCACATATATCCCCTGCCTCCTGGGCACTTCTAGGAGCTACTGCATGTTCATAGCTTTGCCCTTGGGACTAGGGGCTCAGAGCAGCTCCAAAATGATAGAAACCACCTTGCTCATGAAACACTGGAGATAACCCTGTGAGCAGTCATGCTTCATGCTTTGGGGTCAAATAGCTGCTGCTCCAGAAAAAGCAGAGGCATTTGTGAATATCTGGCAATGATACTTTGCTGGAAGATGAGGAGCAGAAAACGGACAAAATTCTATGCATCAGTTCTGACCCTCGGACAAGTGAAAATCGAAGCTGAACAAAGGGAGAGGCAAGGAAAATTCTATAGGCACAGAAAGGAGAGCTTCAATGATTGAAGGTTTCTGACTTACTGTATCACCTGTGTTGATCTGATCCTCTTCTATCATGTCTATTCTCTTCAAATCCAGCTTTGTAAGAGTGATCTCAAGGAAGCACAACAGCTGAGTTTCACTAGAAAATTGCTATTTATTTTTTTTATTCCAAATAGCCAGAAATAATGTAGGCATACACAATAATGCAGACAATGGTAATGAACCTGAAAGCACCCATAATATGAGGGTAGGGTGTGGAAAAGCTAAGTTTCTGCATTGTGACTGCTTACTATATCAGTTAGGTTCTCAGGGTTCACTTTCTGGCAAATTGATGCCTTTTTTATGAGCTTTTTATGAGCATATGTCTTTTATCTTGCTAACAACCACTTGTTTTGTGGTAATACTTAAACAAAACTGAAATGACTGTATTTCCAACAAGCCATCCCTTCAGCGTATTCAGAAGCATTTACCAGTGGTACAGCATCAAAACTATTTTTGGTTTTTAGCTTCAAAAATAGAATAGCCATGCGTTGCTCTCAAGTAGCAGCATTTTAAAAGATGATTTTTGGCAGGGAAAGAAGGACATCATCATAGTGATGTTGCCAAGTGCATGTTTTCTGACAGAAATAAAGTTTGGGTGTCATGTACTCTATGATAATGTGGTCATTTGAAAAAATAATGAAGGCCATTCTTAAGGAAGTACCTTATTTTATATGATGTAGAAATTGTGATTGATATATTGGCATAAAAACACTTTTAGCAAAACAGTTTGAGGTCATAGAGTGCATGGATACCACCACAGCTAAAAGAGGTAATTACCACACTGACAGCAGCAATAGGAACAACTTCTGGCTCCAAAGTTGATTCTTGACAGGTCAAGAGATACTACCATGCCTTTATTCCTTTTCCTTACAACTTTGCACCTCTCCTCCACCAAATGCATATCAGCTGATCTATTTTCCTCCCTTACTTCCTGTACCCAAAAGACAGTCACTGTTGGATTGCCATTACCTAACTGTCTGAGTTAATTAGGCATGCAAAAGTAGTAATTGTCTATGTAGTTACCTACTGTGATGGCAAGCATTTACACCAGGTATAATCAGCAGCTGCTGACTTTCCCCGATAGAGTGATCAGTGCATCAATCACGTAGGTGTAGCACAGGCTGGGAATCACAGCTTTAGGGTAAGGCCTTGATGAACATAAATCTGACTCCACGCTCACTTGTCAAGCATCCAAGTGAGTCAGTTGTGTGGCTCACTGTAGAAACCATTCTGGCTGTGTGTTTATTATCACTCTCAGTGAAGCATTAGTAAAGTCGTATCTTTTTGCGGTATTGGAAATACAAGAGAATAAATCTGTATGCCCAAGTGACTCCTTGTGGTATCACGTTCAACAGGAGTGAGGCATGCTCATTCCTGAGGTCTTAGGGGGGGTAGCCAGGGCAGCTGTGCTGTAATACAAGCTTATGATAAGGATAGTTCGGGACATGTTTTTTCATATTGCCTGGTTTAGCCATGAAATATCATTCCACTCAGAAAGTGAACAATTGCAAGTAACAGGAAACCACAGTTTTACTGGCTAGTGACTATTTCTGGTTTACTGACTAGTGACTATTTGCCCACTAGATGGCTGTAATTGTTGAAGGTAAGTACCTTAGACGCTTGGAAGGGGCTTCAGTCATCTGAATCTACTTTCAAATCTACTTTTTGTTCTCTCCTGAGCTCTTGTACTTACTTTCATTACTTAGAGATCATGAGAACTAAGAGACAGTAGGGGCTGGAATTCCTCAAATCAAAGTTGTAAAACCTATCTCTTGGTGTAAAAGTTGTAAAATCTAGATCATCCTTGGCAAGTAAGAACTTGCAGAAATGTGTCCAGTTTTAGCCTAATGAATTGTTGTGTCAAGCAAGAATTTACGAGTGAAAATTGAAGGCTACAACGAATAGAAGAAGGACTTAATCAAGAAATAAACCTTTTCCTAGATACTAGAAAATGTAGGGACAATTTGCAGATGTCATGATCTTCACTTAAAGAAATAACTTTGCAAGTAACAGCAGGTAAAGCAAGATGTGTAAAAAGAAAATGGAAAAATTAGTGCATCCGTTGTACATAATGATGTTACAGGGTTTAAAGATATTATAAGTATTGTGTAAAAGCTAAACAAACACTTTGTCTCAGCTTTCAATAATGATGTTGGCCATGAAGTAAAAAGTGCGAAGGTGAATGGGAATAGGTAAATTAGAATGAGTGTGGTGGAAATAAGACTCAGATAAGCTGCTCAAATAAGACATGGTAGATTACATAAATACATAAGAGTCAGTTCAGTGGGCTTGACTGAAAATCTTCAAGCCATGCTTCCCAGTTCAGGAGTAGTCTTCAAACCTCCAGCAGTTTGTAGCTCAGGGACTTACCTACCCACAGTAAGTGTGGGGAAGTGTGTAGCTATTAACCTTCAGTTTCTTCCTTTTTTGTTGACTCATTCATGTGCCCCTCATCTGTTTTCAACTTTAGTTGTCCACAACATTTCAGGACAAGGAATTCCAGAGGTTACTTGCAGCTTGATTGACATACAACCTCCTTGTGTTTGCTTTGAATGCATCTTCTTCTTGGATTGGAAGAGACAGTGAGGAACATGTAGTCTCCAAGTCTTCTCCATGTACTCAAATCAGGGCACTAGACAATCTTCACCTGTAAGACCAGTCAGAGAAGTTTAGTTCTAGCAGCAAGGATTTTTTTCAGCACGGCTTACTGCTGACATACAGAATAATTAAGGTAATGGAGATAAACTGAAAACAGGACAAAACATTGCCTTGATTGCTTTGCCTTGATTGCTTAAAGCATTCCATACTGACTTTTTTTTTTTTTTTTTCAGAAAACAAAGTGATTTTCTACTTTAAGGAAACATAGCATGCCCAATATTCTTGGTCACTACTGAAGTATCTGATATTGTACCACCTGAGAAACTGACAGATTTGAGAATATGGAGATTAATATGAGATACCTGAGTTGCACATAAAGGGAAGGGACAACATGTTGTGCTGAGAAGAAACCTGTCAGGCTGCAAGGAAGTGCTCTGATACCATGTCTTGGCACTGGTACCGCTTAATGTTTGTTTCATGAGCTTGGCATAGAAAACAGGAATAAATTATGAAAACTGACAGTGAGAAATAAAAAGAGAAGCAAGTCAAGATAGGTCATTGCATAAAGATTACTTTGAAGGTTACTTTGAAGATGACTTCAGCAAAAATAGGATGGAATTTAATACGAATAGCAAATTATTGCATTTGGAAAGCGTTAGAAACATCTGTTATAATCTGGGTCTCTGTAAAAGGTAATAAAGACTTAGAAACACCAGTGTGATTTAAGAGTGAAAATGTTAT